TCACTCTGCCACTCCACCTGCAGAGAAAAGGGAACACAAATTCATAAAATACAGAGAACATAAGACAAAAGATCAATATTCATGCACAAAAGACGTGCAAAGCATGACAATCCAAATCTGCTGCTATTCGGATTTATCCTCTCGCGTAATTTTGAACAAACCACGTATTATCTATGGTTTTGTATGATTGTGAAATATATAATCTGATGACAGAACATAAATTACAGTACCATATTTATTGGACTATTATTTATTTAGTGTTCTGTCTGACGACAGGTCCATATGAACTGGATCCTTCCATCCTTTTCTCGGACTGGGACCTGTTCATATACGTTCTTGGCAGATGATCCAGAAGTGGTTTGCCATTGCCTTCTTCTGTGTGTGAATGGAGTAATTGTTGGGATGCCACGGAGAAACTGGGGAAGCCCCCGGAGGAAAACTCCGTGTTGCCTAGACCACGGCCTTGCCCAACACAAGTTATAAATTCTGGCACCGCCGGGAATTGAACCCGAGACCCCAGGATTACAAGGCCAGCGTTCTAACCGCTAGACCACCGTGGCGGTTAATTTCCTCATTACTCTAACATAATTCATTTATGGACTTCATGACCATTTGATCCTATTACTGGAGTGTTAACATACCAAGACTGGGGCTGGCTTGGATTCAGGAAAAGCAGTGTGTATAGTTCTTATACCATTTATTCATAAAGTCACAATAACATACTTTTTGCCTATGCTGTGATACAGCGTCCGTCACCCGATCCATGATCATCTTTTCGGTGAGGATGCCGTCTTCCGAAGCATACGCGGCGGCCTGCCACGCGACACCTAGCTTGGCAATCTCTCGTCCTGACATTCCTTCTGTCAGCTTGGCGATCTCGGTGCACAGCAAGCTGTAGTCGAACTGTGCCAGCTTTAGCCGCCTGTACAATAATCACTGTAAGTTACCAGGCAATGATTAAGTTTTATAATACTTAAAAACACTTTTTAACTGCTTAAGATTCATGCTGTAGACTGAGGTGGGAAGAGAATTACGAATGATGACTTAAGTCATAGACTATTTCAATTGCATTCATGCTTCCTAATAAACACGTGGCAGTAATAAAGCACATCCAACAATGTCCCACCTTTTTCCTTCCGTAGCCGGTTGAAGTACAAACTGGTCGAAGTAGAGGCGAACTAAACGCTCACGTTCCTCAAGCCCTGGGAGGCTGAATTCTACCATCTCATCCAGGCGATCATTAACAGCCCAGTCAAACTGTTCTGGAGTATTAGAAGCCAAAACTAGCATAAACCTGGAGAAAACATCTCATTACAATCAAATCTCAATAAAGCGCCCCTACACATATCATCACACTCACACTGCATCCACATGAAAGATCAGAAACAGAAATTCCATACGCAATATTAAAAGGGAACTCCACAGTAAAGTACCATCTCCACTCGTCACAATCATATGTGGCAACACAAATGTATCATTAAACATTACAACCAAGACCAATACAGCAGCACCAGCTAAACAGAGAACTCCCTGAAATATTCCACCATAAAAATACACCAAAAACTGTGTAAAAATAAATAGATAAATAAAAATGAACAGGTATGAAACCACCTACAGTATCTCGGGGTGGAAGATGGGTTGATACTTGGAGTGAGCAGTAAAAATGGTTATGGTAAATGAACATGCTACTGTGAGGGGCATTAATATGAAAATGGAAATATTATTGAGAATAAGCTCCATACAGTAACAGGTAAGCTTCCAAAAACTCTGATAGAAGAGTTATAAATCAACCCCTTTTTTGCTCTTTCACAGGTTTAGAGGGCTGAGTGTAATAAAAGCATTTCCTGTACACAAGTTTTGAGTAACTATCATACAGTACGCAAACAAACTTCAATTTGAATGCAATCACAAGGCTGGACACCGAGCAAGGAATTTTTCACACACACAGATGTGCATAATCAGACGTGTTTATATGACGTGGGGGGGAAGAGTAGCGAAACGTGTTGGTGAAGAACAATTATCTGCGATTACAAAGACGGTATCCTGGAGCAAGGAAGCAAATTTCTCTGTACTAATTCTCTCATCCACTGGTTAACCCATCCATCACCAGATGCTGTGTCGGAGACATTCTCAGTAAAAGAAATTGGAGAAGAATACTTGTGAAAGTGTGAAGCAGTTGAAAAGCACAAAAATAAAGATTTCGATGGCATGTTAGTAATGAGAAGCAACTGTTAAAGTTATTATTAAAGAATAAGCAAAGGTACTTGGACGACAGATGAATGTGACTCAATTTTATACACAGAAATTCGTATGGATATTGCTCCAAAAAAGTGAGATAACTGAGATGAATACTGTATAAGATAGCATTATAACAAAAGTTACATACACATAGTCCAGAATTTTGCCTTTTCTCTTACCATCAAGATCACAACTACAGTATTTCACACACCACATGGCACTTTCATATAGTAACTAATAAAAATAACATAAAAATAAAATAATTTTCATGTACTGCCATCCCCACTTTAATGTCAATACTGGTGCGAGCAAACAGTGGTACTGTAACGGAGCTAGAACGCAGTAACGCATCCCTACACAAAGATCAAAATTCGTTAAGTACACTCACTTGTTTGACTGTTCACCTGTGCGATACAGGAAGGCATTCAGGGTGGCACGAAGATCTTCACTAATAGTCTCAGAACTCCTTTTACGTAGGAAAGCATCAGCCTCGTCAACAAACAGAAGAAGTCCTTTGTGTGTCGTGCCAGCCCAGTCGAACACTTTATGGACTGCCGTCACCCCTTCACGCCCCATCGGGGCCACATCGCCGCCTGTCATGATTGCGTAATCCATGCCAGAATGTGTTGCCAGTTTCTATGTGACACAAATATGAAAGGTGAAAATCTTTCTCAACCACTACGAATATTTTTAAAGAGATATCAAAAGATGAACAGAAATGTTTGAAACCACACCTTTGCGAACATTGTCTTGCCAGTACCAGGGGGACCATGCATCAAGATATTCCTGTACATTCCACGATTCCTCTTCGTGTTCTTTGTCGCTATTGCAATATCCCTGCAACATAACAAATATTTGTGGTCTTGCGCAAATTGTGACTTGAGGCACCACGCTGCTGATCGCAAATGAATTTGCAAATGACAGTGTGAAACTCTAGAAAAGTAATCAACACATTGTACTGTTGCAGAACTTAAAAGAGCATACATTATTCTAACTGTGGTTATACTGTACATTTCATATGTATGAGTTTGTACTTGAGAAAAAAGCCGTTGTTGAGACAATGAAAGATTCGACATTGTCATGTGAGAGAATAATTCATATGTAAATAAAGAAGTGACAATGGTTAACAAAGGACATAAAAATGGGTGAAAAGATTGGACAATGAAGTTATTCAATTCAATAATGTTAATGTATTATCTAAAACTTTCACACGAAACCAAATTAATAAAATACTCTTGGGTTATCAGACGTGTCGAACTGTGAAGCGTTGCTAATGTTTCAGGGACAAACTCTGTCCCCGTCATCAAAATGTCAAATGTCAGATGGTGCCTGAAATGTTGGTCAGTTTTCACAATCTGACGCAGATTTTATTAATAATAATGCTAATCTACACAAGAGATATGGCTAAAGGAGCAATTTTAAACAAGACAAATATTATTTCCATTTCTTACATATAAACTGTGAATGTGGAATATAACAATCACTATTGAAACAATTTGATGGATAATTTGCTATAATAACTATTGTAAAATTTCAGGAAGTACGGTGGCCATGTGTAAAAATATTCCTGTCTGCAATCCCTGACAAAGTCATCACTATCACAAGAGCTACTTGGGAGAGCGGTACCTAGCCGAGGCCCAACAATCACCTTTGTGGCTCAAGATGGTATCCTATTTTGTGGGACTCACCGCAGTCGTTCCTCCAGCTTGGGAGCAAGGACTACACCAGAGAGGGCATCATGTGACCTGAACCTGGAGAACACCTTCTGCACTGAATATACCGGGTGCCTTAAAACCTCGATCAGAGAGAATCGAGATGTTTCGCGCACCAGTGAGGGTTTACCTGCAATTGGACATGTAAACTGACACGTTCTTCAGCTGCAATACAACTAAGAAATAAAATGCTACGCACCGAGATATCTACTGTTATTAACAAACCAATAAACAGCACAGATATTCAGAGAGACAAAGTAATGTTCCCTATAGATTGTTACATATAAACAACACTGAAAAGTGTTTCAAATAATTAACAGTAGATTTCATAACATTCATATTTTCTTGTACGTTGAGCTACAAACATTTTTATAAGTGCGCAAAGCAGATAGCAGACACAGACTGATACAAATCAAAATAACTTTGCCCATTAATGTTTGCAGACCCCTAATACAAAAAATTACATCAATATCTGTTAAGTAAATCCTCAGATGAAACTGTCGGATATAGGGACAGATGTGATCTCCCCTCCAGCAATTATTTTATTAAAAGAATACGAAAAAATCACAATAAAAATAAAGTTGGAAATTAAAATTCTTAAGTTCACTGACACCTCCCCAAAGAAATTAGGCATTATATTTCAAAGAAATAAAATGACGACACCATGTATACTCGATCAAAATCCAACTAGTACTGAAGTTGAAAAACATAATCCTGCCGCTACTCAAGAGTAACTCACCGAGTCTGGCTTCTATGTATCTGGCTGCTACTCCTGTTGTCCCTTTGGCGGAGTAGACCCCAAGGGCAAGCAGGGATATACCACCAGCTGCTGCAAGAATCTTGTCCCAGTCTGCCAGAAGAGTGTGTACTCCAGTACCTAGCACTGACCCAGCTGTTCTGCAAAAGCACAATGTAACGTCTGTGAGACCTAAGTGAAGTGGGTGGCTTATTTGTTTCCAGAAAATTCACCTAAAAGCATTTTACATTTCATAAACACTGACAATGAAGGAAGGAATACAGGGACAAAACTTATTATTTTATTTAAACTCTGCACAACATTAGATAAATAATAAAATAAATGGAAGCAAGTATTTTGACAACATTAGATAAATAATAAAATAAATTGAAGCAAGTTTTTTATCATTAGCTAGCTGGTATAGTGGGAATATAAATGTTCTTGCTCACTTGATCGACTCCAGAACAGTGACCCTGTTCTCTGCAGCCTTAAGCCTGATCTGTTCCAATGTCAGGTCTTGGTTTTCTCGGTCCACTTTTGCTTTCGCATGAAGCTCTGCTTCTACTTTCTTCATCTCATTCTTGTGCCTCAGATCCATCTCATGCTCGATGGTAGCCTTCCGCATCGCTTCCTGCTTTGCTACCGACTCCTCTTGACGCCGAAGATTCTCATCATTCATTCGCTGCTGTTGCTGAAGCTGGTCTTCATACCTTAAATTGAGGAATAAATTAATTGGGGCCAAAATTTAGCAAACATGACTAAATCTGGGCTGTGTACTTTCCTCTTATGTTTGATGAATTTAAAGGAGAAAATGTGAAATCTTGCACTGTTATGAGTTTCCATATCATGCAACACTCCAGAGAAATACGACACTAAAAATTTAAGGAAAGTCAAGTATAACTCGCCCATTACAAGAGATTGATTCTGAAATATTCTAAGAACAGGAGCTTCACAGATCTTGATACATGCACACAAGATCAATAATGAAATGGAAGGATTATAGAGGTGTCTTTTAATCCACATCTCACACATTCAAATATTGTACAAGGTGTGAGAATTAAGTTTCCTGAATGACAGCATAAATGTTACAAATAGTAGTGAGTGAGCAATAACTAAGCAGCAACATGTTATGACAAATGGCTATTTTTCAAAACAAAAGGACCCCAGTACCCACCAGACAGGAGACTAGGTTGGCTCCAGAGCCGGTCTGGACACAGAGGCTAGAAGAAAATCCTCTGCCCTTGCAGGGAATCGAACCCTGGTCATTCAGCCCATAGCCAGTCACTATACTGACTTAGCTAACTGGCTCACTACTCCTCGCAACTTACAGAACCGGTATTTTAGCAACAAAAACATCAGAATACCCATAATACTACCTGCTGATAACTTACCTTTTCCGAGCTAACTGATCTTGATACTGAGCACGAAGCTGGCTTTGTTTCGTATCCTCCTGCATGTTCTTGCGTTTCTCATCACCTTCCACCCTCTTTTGTTCAACCTTGTTATGCTCAATATGTGCTTCATATTCCTTAATTTTTGCAAAATATTCCTGTTGTTTTGTTTGCTCCTGATGTTTGGAAAGTTCCAAAGCTTCCTTTGCAAATTCTGAAATATGGGAAAACTGATGATGAAATACTGAACTAGCATTACACTTACAATTTTCTTTCGCACACTGCTTTGAAATAGCCTCCGTCATACTAATTGAACACACTCACCATTTTAGTCGTAATTCATGTCCACTTACTTGATCTCTCTAGATCTTTTGCAGCTTGAGCGGCCCTCTCCAAAGCAGAGGAATCAAACCGGTAAGCCTCCATTGCCTTTCTCGTACTTTTATCATCGCTACCACCGCCGCCACCACCTTCGGCAGGAGGTATGGGGATCTGTGGTGCTTGTGGGGGAGGTTGGTTATCTCGATATCCAAATAACCACGACATTTTCACCTAAATTCCTACTGTTATTTTTCTGGACTAGCTGCACACGAGGCCTCCTATATCACAGAGTACCGGAACATGTGTTCCATTTAACCAATGGGCGCTTTCCAGCGATGATAATACCCACGGAGACATGAAAGCAGACTGGCACTACAACAAAAAGTAGCACGAAGTATTGTTCTCGATGAAGAATCGACTATGAATTTCTATATATGTATTTCAGAATTATGTTTATTTTCTTTGGGTTCAAAACAATTGTGCGTAACAACGAACATAAAGAGATTGTCAAACATTGAAATCAGGGATAACATTGATCTAATTTGTAATCTGTGCATTTAATTTAAGAATAATAAAACACGTTTGAATACAGTTACGGAAAGTTTCCCCCAAACAAAGTACTTATATATATACTAGACCACATCCACTTGCTTATATGTATGGTAATTCTTATGTCTGCATTTCTTCTGGTGGGACGTGGGTTCCAAGCTTTGAAACCGAAGTTCGTCTAAATAATATTTAAGAATTCAATCCGCAAAGAAATGCGAAACTCCACGATTACAAGGATCAACTATTTAATGTCATTTAGGAAATAATCCCTCTTTACAATGAATATAATACTAACCCCTTCAGTTTGAAAAGCCGTTCTGGTTGTTAAAGCATGTAGTACATAAAAGTTTAAGGGTTAATAATATGTGCTGTTTACAGCCAAACGGGTAACTGTCATTGCAAAGTGCTCTAGTTTGGAAGTGTACCACGTGACAAATAAAACTGGAGGTCTATGAAATATATTTTGCAGTATTATTATTATTATTGGTTAGGCCTTCGTAGCAGACTCGTTTAACTGTTACCCCACGCTCTGTGTGCTAAAATAATAGTGTATGTTGGTATTATTCGTGTAGGTACGTCATCTATGGTATGTGTTCATATGATGTTCAGATAGCTGGAGTGTTTGCATATGTGTTGGTTGCAGTTAGGTGTTATGGCATGAACTAACATAAAATTGTTGGAATGTGTGTAATAAAGCTTACTATGGAAAGCAGCAATACATCAAGGGCCCAAAATGGCCCGAGCACAGACGTAAAACCTTCCCAAGTAAAATCTTTTGCTTACAATAACAAATGAAATAGAAAATGTAATTAATTCTCTTAAGTCAAAAAACTCATATAGTTATGGTAGAATATCAAAACTTGCCCAGACTATATTAGTGTTCCTTTAAGTTATCTCTGTAATCAATCACTTATCAAAGGAACTCTACCAGAATGATTTGAATATTAAAAAGTTGTACCCTTGTACTAAGAGGTGAAAAATTCTGCATCAACAACTACAGGCCAGTTTCATTACCGATATAGTTTTCAGAATTTGTGAAAGTAATGTAGAGATAAGTGATTCATTTCTTGAACTGTAACACTATCCTTTCAGAGGAAGGACTGATAAGAACTTTGTAGAGTCTTAGATATTTTATGCCCTTAATGATAAAATTCATGTTGATATAATATTTTGCAACCTTGCTAAAGCATTTGATTATGTGAATAACATATTATCAAAACTAAATCATTATGGAATTAAGGTAGTTAGTAGCAGAAAACAAAATCCCTTTAATTCATATTCAAACTGGGGCATTGTAAAACATGAAGTTTCTCAACATTCTATACTTGGTCCTCATGTTTTCCTCTTATACATCAATGATCTACTCCAAATATTCAATCCTGTCCTTAAATTTGACAAGACAAACTGCATGAAATTCATTAATAAAAACAAGTATTAGTTTCACTATTGGTTATATATATATATTAAACCAATTGATGTATTAACAATTAAATTAGGCTTTCATAGTGATGTATATTCCTCATTAAGTCATCTGGGTAATACTGTGTGTCAGGGCGTTAAAAATTGGAGATAATTCATTGGATCTTCCTGCCTCCACCTTCAGGACTGACATGATAAGACTGTAATTCTATGAGAATATAAGATGTCATGAATTGAAATTGGTCCCATTAGCAGTAATATAGGCTGTCAGTATTGGGTGGATAGGTCCCTGATAAATCCACCCTCGGTGGTCAAGTGGTAGCATGCTTGCTCTCGGACCCAAGGCTTGTGAGTTTAAACCTGGCCGAGGACAATGTTTTTAAGTGACAAAAATCCCTTCGGAGGGGAAATAAAGCTGTTGGTCCCATGTCGTAGATTTACAGCATGTAGAAGATCCTATGAGCATGAAAGAGATGTTTGGTAAGCAAAATTCAGTAGTCATGTTTCTCACCCATGTCTCTCCTGCTTTGCTATCAGATTATTCTGGCAGTCAAATCAGGATCACAAAGAAATTGTGCAGTACCATATGAAAAGGTGACTTGATCAATTGTCATCAGAACAGCCTTTAGCCTGATCCCTGAAGTGATGAAGAACAAGAAACTCCCTGGTAAAAAGAATGCTGTTGATGTCAACATTAGTTATGTTTCTGACTTGGATGGGTAACCACTTCACCTGACCACAATAACTTGGACAAAACCTCAGATTCTACTTCTGGGTCACTATGATTCTGAAGAAGGAAGCAGCAAGTTCCTTTGAAAAGGCATTCTGACAGTGTCCACCACAATAATTTATTATGTGACATACATCCAAACAAATGTGTATTGATTATTAAAACATTGTTAAACACACAACAGTATTATCATTTCATCCTTCATAGAAACGTGGTAGCTGATCTCCAAGGACAGTGAACCTCTCGATGCCTTTCTCTGTTAAGTCTGCAAGCCGTACAACACCACCACTTGACCCATCACGGCTCATTGCAAGGGCCAGAGCTGGAACATGACAACATCTCATAAAACCTGGGTTCCATTTCAGAAAATTGTGATAGAACATTATTGGTGTAGTGGGTACAGTCCTGCTTCATATTCAAAATTTATTCTGCATATAATGTAAGCTGTGAACATGTAGGTTTACAGTTGGCAGAAGCTTTGTTTACTTGCATGTGCATTTTAATCAATGTGGTATCTAAACACAAAAATACTGAGACTGAACAAAACTTAAGCCACATAGTTTCAACATGTTTTTTTTTTTACAAACTTTATTTGTGTTTGTGATAACATAATTGACAAATAAGCAGGACTACTGAACTCTACACACAAGAGCCCGAAATCTCAATGATACATACTGTTGGTGACAAACTCCAAGCACTCCTTCTTGGACATGTCTTTCTTGAAGTGTGCATCGACATAACCATACACGTACGTGCTGCCAGAGCCTCCGATTGCCAATGGCTGTCTTACACACATCCCACCAAGAGGCACACAATACACCTGGAAACATCAAAATGATCAAATAACAGCTGCTAACAGAATCCATGATAACTAACAATCTACAGAAATTCCGCATATTACAGAACCCATCAAGTTATCATCATTAACGTAAACACATATTTCTCTAACATCAATTTTAATACCATCCTCACCTATGTATGTCTCCTGTTTTATTTTCTTTTATGTACTTTACATGAAGTGCATGAAATAAAATAATTTTAGGGAAATTCTGATTTTATACAAGAATTGTTCCTTGAAGTAATAAATTGTCTCATATGCTAATAAATGTTTGGAAAATATGGAGTCTCATAAAAGAAAAAAATACATGGAAAATTCTTGTTACTATTTGCTTTTACCTTCTTCCCACCCACAACGGATAAGAATATGAAAACAAAACACTGCAGGTACCTGACCGCCCCTCCTCTTGTCCCAGCCAGCAACGATTATTCCTGCCATCAGTGAGTCTCGATAGTTGTAACACAGTTCACGGAAAATGTTTGCCGCTGCTTCCACTAGCGGGGGCTCCCCAAGCTCAATCCTTCAGGATGAAAAATATAATAATTCACTTTGATTGTTGTTTAGTTCAATAATTATAACTTTCATTGAAGGCAAAATAAATGATGATACACTCACGACATATAAGATGAAAGACAATTTATATTATATTATAATGCTGTACCTGAATCTCAGCTATTATAATGCAAACTTCATAGTCTAAGCCTTGTTTTATTAACTTCATGCATTACACAGCAATGCATGTGAAAATTCTGAAAGGATATAGGGGGATTGGTCATGGTACTATTACAGAATTTGCTTTAAATTCTGAGGAGAACAAATTCACACTGCCCAAGAAACAAACTCATTCAAGACAACTACATACCTCTTGAATAACAGAGGTGCTAATATTATATATCACACTATTCAGTGAGGCACAACACTTTACATCACTTCTTCTTGTGAAAAAATAACACACTAAATGGAAAGGTCACTTTACTTGTCAAAGCAAGACACTTACGAGTGGAAATCTAGATGATATCTGACAATATTTGCAATTGCCTGCGTATCAGCAGATGACCCAGATCGACAGCAATAGATGTGTTCTGTTATTTGAGTCAGTTTATCTGTAAAACGGTTTGAAATGTAGCTTCCTGTTGTAGAACGAGAATCAGCACCAATCACAACTCCTCCATTGTATTCAACTGCCATGATTGAAGTCTGAAAGAAAAATACCAGAGAAGTGAAATACATCCCATAACTCAGGTCATGTAGGATTCATGCTACAAAAGTTTGCTAAGTTGGGTTTCGTTACTTTCACTTTGTTGTTAAAGTTATAAGTTCGTCCCTGAAGGCCAATGTGATTATGAGGACAGCTGATGTAGACAGCAACTTTTAACACATCAGTTATTTTCTGCAGGCATTTAAAGTTTTTTTTTTCTGAGCATCCAACAGTGGCTCTATGTTAACTAGTTACAATTTCAGTCAGCACAGAACAAATCGCATTTATACCAGTAATTTTACAAATCTTTATTGCCAGGTAATACAAGATGAGCCAGCGTAACTCAGTCAATATAATGACTGGCTACGTACTGGACAACCAGGGCTCGATCCCTGATGGGGGGCAGAGGATTTTTCCTCTAGCCTCTGTGTTCAGACCCATTCTGGGGCCCACCCAGCCTTCTATCCAATGGGTACTGGGGTCCTTTCCTGGGGGTAAAGCATGGCCGGGGCATCATGCTGACCACTCACTCCCGTCTAGTGCCGAGGTAAAGAATGAGTAGGAGCTATACCTTCTCTCCCCCAAAGTGCCTACATGGCATATAGTGCGACAGCTTTACTTTACTTTTAGGTTTCCAATATAAGGTTACAAAATATTTTAACTAGCAGGTAATATTCATTAGGTTCATGTTACTCATTCTTGTCACTACATTAACTGCTGCACTATATTGGGTCAAATTATACTCCAGGGTATTATTCTAGTATGAAGTAATTGAAATTAACAAAAAGTTAGATTATTCAGTGTTATAAAATATTTTGCAATAATGAGTCATCACATTTTTCTTTACAACACTGCAATTATTAAACATTAGCTTATTACAAAACATTAATTATTTTACATGAAAGAGGAAAAGAGTATTAAACATCTCTCAAACTCTGTGCAACAACAAATGTTCAGTGCAAATTCGTAATTTTATAATGTTGATTTCTTGTGATTTTACATTCATGGTTTTGACTACTTATATGTTAAAATAATTTTGGTCCTGTCTAACTGCATTAAACTATCAATGAATTGCATGTTTTGAATGAGTCATGCACAATGTCAAATATTGTGGTCAGCTTGACACAGACCTGTCTAAGATTATACTACTCAGCATTAATTAGTTTCAAGCACCTAGACCAGGATCAAAATCATCTTCCCTGGATGTAACAAAAGAAAGCAACACCACAAGAATATGATCAACATGCAATAAACTTTTAAAATTGTACTGTAATATAAGCTGTTTAATATTTCTGCATATTTCATGTTGCATAATACCCTGTAGCTTGGTACGGAAAATATAAGAAGAAAGGAACACATAAACTAAAGAGTCTTTACTATTTTAGAGAAACATTACGGTTTAATACCATACGGTTCATCATAACAAAAATGACAATGCAGCTTTTAGTTGATTTTAATATTTTCATGAGTGAATAGGGATGACATAATGACAACATGCTAGTCCAACCGTGCCATAAATTTTATATATATTTCTCAATAAAAAATTGAAAAGTTACTGTATAAATTCTAATACATTAAGTGTTCAAACTACTACGATTTAAATATATTAATATTCACTGAATTATTTGAAAATGAGTCAGCACTTAACACACCACTCACACAGATGTTCTACTTTATTAAAAACAACCAACTCGTCGATGTCTTCACAGTAAAACAATATTTTACTTACTCCAGTGCTGTGCTCTGCTGAGAGCCAGTCAGGAACTTCAAAACCTCCATGAATATTATTTGAAAGGCCAGAATAAGCACGATCAACAAACGCCATCTTCTACCTTCTCCAGACCCAAACACAGAACACAGCCACCAAACTCTATGGTTGGCAGTAAATCAGGATTGTCAACTGCAAAATTCGATTCGTTTCGGAAAATTAAACTACATTTAGACTTTAACAAAATAATGTATTATAATTAACAATATATAAAAAACCTTTACGTATTAGTATTTAAATAAAGTTTCCATATATATTTTACGGGTCTGTTAAATAGCATTTTCACTACACGGTGTACCACTGACACCTTAATTTGATCATTCTCTTTGGAAACTGATGTGACCTATCAGAGCTTTGCCTCATAATCGATTTGCAATTCTCGATTTACATCGATTATGGAGTGAAACACATCGATTAGTTTCGTCCTATGCTATTGATATGTGCTGCACTCTATGAATTGCCGCCTGTCACCTGTTGATACAGTCAGTCGTCCGTCGTCTGTTAGTGAGATAGTGGACGGAATAATTTTATCCCGCCAAAACTATTGTTATTTTTTAAAACACTGGTTCACTATACGTGTGGGTTTTCAATTGTGATTTTGAATAATTTAGTGACAGCAGTTGGAACCTGATAGAAAGAAGATTTCCACGCTCATCAGTATCAATGACAAAATAAGCGAAGGTACGTAAAGTTATAAAGTTACATAAGCCTGCCGGCTCACTCTCCCTCTCTTGTAAACATGAAAAACTACCGAGTCAACTAGAAACTTATATTACTGTTTCTTCACTCATATTGAGCGTATTCAGCGAGTGCGCGAAAGACAGGAGGCTTTG